GTAAAATTAATTATAATATATTTTATTTAACTTGCCATTTAAAAATATTATCCTTGCCTTTGAACATGTAATCAATTTTGTAAAAATGATTAATGACATGTTTTACTCTTTTTGTGTATGTGTTTAATTTTCCAAATTCTGGTGTGTGATTTATGCTTACAGCACATCTCAAATCATACTAACTACATTTCAGGTGCGTAGTAGTCAGATGTGGCAGTGACTATTGTATTGGACAGTACAGTCTAGACAAAACTCAGAAAAGGTATAGAGCCAGGCAACTATGGAATATATCTGTGGGAGAGGTATGTTTTTAAACTTAGCATGAAGGGGATTAATGGGAGCTGTTGCTGAAAGCGTAGCTTATGGCAAGATCATGGAGAGACTTTTAAGACATGTCTATGTGAATTACTCCAAGTATAAAGTATTATCTTAAATTTCTTAGTATGCTAAAATATACTGGAAGTGTATTTGGATAAGACCCAAAGATTGATATAAAATTTTTGAATTATTTGTGTTCAGAATTTCAGCCTGTGTTTGGAATCCAAGCTGGAAAACAATCCAGTGGAAAATACCATTGCTGTTTCAACTCTGCTAGGTCAAGCAAAAGTTGATGCAGGAGAGAGTAAATTTCCAGGTAATATTTTGAAAACATTATTTGGATTTTACAGTGTTCAGTGACTTTTTCAATATTACAGAAAACTCTATATATACCAAATAGGCCTGTTAAATTCTTCTTTACTATTGTTGTGTTTTTCTGATATGTGATTATCATGATTATCACTCATTCTTTCTGGAGAATTGTTTCTCTTGATTGGTTTGTTGAAAGTACCTAAGTACTACCCTTTGATTCCCTATCAAAAGTTCTTCTGTTCTTAAATCTATTATTTTGTTGGTGACTTTCTCTCTGGAGAAGTGTTTTTAATTAATTGCTGAAGTTAGTGGTAGCAGCTTATTTCTCAAGTACTTTTACTGTTTGTGCTTTACCACTTCATGTTCTTATCTTAACTCTCAGTTACTCAAGTTTTCCAGCTCAGTGATTCTATCTCTGAATTAAACATTTAATAAATGCTGCAAGTTGTTCACATATACCACACAAAAGCTTTATTTTTGTAACCCTGTGAACATTTTTTTTTT